AATCATAAATAAGGTGAAATGGAGCAATTAAATCAATCAAGAAGAGTGCTAAAATTCAGAAAAACATAATTATTACTGGGAAATTCTTTGATTTAAATGGAGGATTCAATTAATAAAAGAGGTTTAGAAGTGGAAAATCTTTATAGAGTGAAATTTTTTTCTTAAAAACGGGAATTTAATATTTTATTTTAAAAAATTAATAAGTGCATTAAAACAATTCTTTTTTTAAAAGTGCGAGTATAGCAGATAAATTACAACAAATGTAGTAATAATTCAATTCACTGCTTGCTGTCTTCCTGCTTACACTATATTTTCCCCAATTGGAGCTGTCCAAAAATTCATCATCGCCTTTTTTTTTTTTTTTTAACAGTTTACAATTTGGAGAATTTGGAGGATTGAGGAAGGGAGATTTTTTAAAGCGTTGGTAGAGTTTTGAAACTCCGATCAATTAACCCAAATTCTTTAAGATTTGAGAATGAACCACTTGAACTTGAAAACATGATTCTATCATCCCCTTTTATTGGTTAGGAAGGTGGGATGCTTTATTTGCAAAGTATTAAAATTTAAGCAAGTGATGAAAAAAAAAGGTTAAAAAAGTTAAAATTTATTTATTAAAAAATGTTTCTGGGATAATTTTTTTGTATTACTTTTTGATACAACTTGAGGTGTTATTTAAATTATTAATTTTTTTTATTCATTTGAAACTCATAATATTAAATATATGTACTCATTTAATGACATATAAAAATTATATTAAAAAATAGTATAAAAAAGTTGTTTCTATAATACCGCCTTTATTATTTCTTTTCTTAGGACAGATTCTTGGAGCATTAAGATAAAATTAAAAATGAAGAAACATTGGTCGTGATGTCCCACTTGTGTTTTCCTATTTACCTTGTTTACGTGTATAAATATCTGTCATTGCAAGAGCTTGCATTGTACCCCCAAGGCATTCTAAATCACTGGTATTATGGCATCACCCTTATTCTTCCTCCTGCTACTTCAGTCTTTTCTTGTTTCTACTTCTGCTTCTTCCACCACTTCTTTACTTAATCAAACAGAAACTCTTCTCAAATGGAAAGCCAGTCTTGACAACCAAAGCCAAAGCTTCCTCTCTTCCTGGGTTGGGGAAAGTCCTTGCAGTTGGGTTGGAATTGCCTGTGACGAAGTTGGAAGCATCACCAACATAAACCTTTCAAATTTTGGTCTCAAAGGTACACTTGACAACCTTAACTTCTCGGCCTTTCCCAACCTAATTTACTTTGATCTTAGTAATAATTCACTTTATGGGGCCATTCCTTCTGACATCGTTAACTTGTCCAAACTCACTTTTTTCAATTTGTCTACTAATGATCATTTTTCTGGAAATATTCCCAAGGATATAGGAAAGTTGAGTTCGCTTACCGTCCTCGACCTTGCATGGAACCAACTCAGTGGTTCACTTCCTGTTTCTGTAGGAAATTTAAGCAATTTGTCTTACCTAGGAATCAGTGGCAATAACCTCAACGGTTCCTTGCCTCAAGAAGTTGGAATGATGAGGTCGCTTCTTGTGGTTCATTTAGCATTGAATTCCTTTACTGGTCCAATCCCTGCATCAATAGGAAATTTAAGCAATTGTCAACATCTTAACCTTTTTGAAAATGACCTATCTGGTTCTATTCCTGCGGTTTTAGGAAAATTGAACAATTTGTTGGAGCTGCACTTGAGAAACAATAGATTCAATGGTTCTATACCTCAAGAAGTTGGAATGATGAGATCCCTTGTTTTACTTGATTTTTCAATGAACTCCCTAACTGGTTCGATTCCTGCATCAATAGGAAATCTAAGTAATTTAGTATTTTTTTACCTTTATAGAAATAATCTTTCGGGCTCCATTCCTAGTGAAATAGGAATGACTCAATGCCTTCTCGACTTCCAGTTGTTAGGAAATAATCTCGTAGGAGTAATCCCAGCTTCCATAGGAAATCTAACCAGGTTAAACTCTCTTTATCTCTCTGAAAACAAGCTTTCTGGTCCAATACCATCAGAAGTAGGATTTCTCAATTCTCTCACCAATCTTTCTTTGTATAATAACAATTTCTCTGGTTCAATTCCTACTTCCATAGGATATTTAACCAGGTTAGACACTCTTTATCTCTTTGATAACAGGCTCTCTGGTCCAATCCCAGATTCCATAGGAAATCTACCCAAGTTAAAGTCTCTTTCTCTTCATAATAACCTGCTTTCTGGTCCAATCCCAGCTTCTATAGGAAATCTCACCAGTTTAAACACTCTTTATCTCTGTAATAACATGGTTTCTCTAATCCTTCCTTCCACAGGAAATCAAACCAATATTATTGTTGGTCGCAATCAAACCATTTTAAACACTCATTATCTCCTTGATAACAAGCTTTCTGATAGTGTGCTTTCCGGTCCAATCCCATCACAAGTACGATTTCTTAGTTCTCTCACTAAACTTGATTTGAGGGGTAACAATTTCTCAGGTTCAATACCTTCAGAGATAGGGAACTTGACAGGACTTCGTTTGTTATATCTTTCTTTCAACAAATTTTCTGGTCTGATCCCTATAGAAATTAATAACCTTACTGTTTTGGAACAATTGGAATTGAATAATAATCAGCTCACTGGCCATATACCGGACAATATATGCTTTGGGGGATTACTCAGTCATTTGTCATTACGGAACAACTATTTCACTGGTCCAATCCCAAAAACTTTGAGAAACTGTACCAGCTTAAACAGGGTAAGGCTTGAACGGAACCAACTTGAAGGAAATATAACAGAAGCTTTTGGTATATATCCTCACTTGGATTACATTGATTTGAGTAGTAACAAGTTGTACGGTGAACTCTCTCCAAATTGGGGTCTCTGTCATAACCTAACAGGCTTAAAGATTTCCGATAATAACATCTCTGGTAAGATACCTGCTAAGCTAGCTCAAGCCACCAACTTACATTCACTTGACCTCTCCTCAAATCATTTGAGTGGGGACATTCCAAAGGAATTAGGAAGGCTAACATCACTGGTCTATCTCTTGCTGAATGACAACCAACTATCTGGCAAAATTCCTTTAGAGATAGAAAATCTATCTAATTTGCAACATCTTAGCTTGGCAGCAAACAATCTAACTGGACCAATTCCCAAACAATTGGGAAAGTGCTACCAGTTATTGAGCTTGAATTTGAGCAAGAACCAATTCGGGGAACGTATTCCGTTTGAAATAAGCGATATACCTGCCCTTCAAACACTTGATTTGAGTTGGAATATTCTAATCGGAGAGATTCCTCATGAGCTTGGAAGATCCCAAAGGTTAGAAACACTTAATCTTTCTCACAACATGCTTTCTGGAGTCATACCTTCTTTTGATGAATTATCGAGCTTGACAAATGTCAACATCTCCTACAACCAATTGGAGGGCCCAATCCCTCACATCAAAGCCTTTCTTGACGCCCCATTTGATGCTCTTGAAAACAATAAAGGCCTTTGCGGCAGTGCCTTCGGCCTAATGCCTTGTCCATCCAAAAGTCTGAAAAGAAGTTCAAGAGGACTTGTGAATTTGATTGTGGTACCTGTTTTGGGTGGTTTGGTTCTATTATTTATCTTGGTGGGTTGTTTATTGCTTGTTTGTTGCAAAAAATATGAGCCAAGAATGGGGCAATATCAAGATATTTTTGCCATATGGGGATATGATGGGAAAATCCTCTATGAAAACATTCTTGAAGCTACAGAGCAATTTAACTCCAATTATTGCATTGGCTCAGGAGGATATGGAAATGTTTACAAAGCTGTGTTGCCAACAGGTCAAGTAGTTGCTGTGAAGAAACTTCATCCCTTAGATGACAATGAGACCATCAATTTACGAGCATTTGAAAGTGAGATTCGTGTTTTAACAGAAATACGACATCGCAACATCGTCAAGTTGTATGGTTTTTGTTCTAATGCAGAGCACTCATTGTTGGTCTATGAGTTTGTAGAAAGAGGGAGCTTGAAAATGGTTTTGAGCAACCTAGAAGAAGCAGCGGAGTTGGATTGGGATAAGAGGTTGAACATTGTTAAAGGATTAGCTAGCGCCTTATCTTACATGCACCACGATCGCCCATCACCAATAATCCATCGTGACATTTCTAGCAACAATGTTTTGCTTGATTTGGATTATGAAGCTCATGTTTCTGATTTTGGCACTGCTAGAATTTTAAAGCACGAGTCCTCAGACTGGACATCCTTTGTAGGCACCTTCGGCTATATAGCTCCAGGTATTTCATTTGATATCATCTAATAAATTAAATTATCATTTATTGTTTACATGACTAACTAAATTTGTTTCTGCAGAGTTTGCTTACACAATGCAAGCAAGTGAAAAATGTGATGTCTACAGCTTTGGGGTGGTAGCACTGGAAGTACTCATGGGAAGGCATCCAGGTGACCTCATTTTAGATTTATGGACAACGAATGGCCAACAGATGCTGCTGAAGGATGTTATAGACCAGCGCCTTCAACCTCAAAGGAGGAACCGAGTAGCTGAGCAAGTGGTTTCAACAACAAAGCTAGCCTTTACATGCCTGCATGTCAATCCCCAATCGCGGCCCACCATGCAGCAAGTTTATCAGACACTTACTAGTGGTCGATCATCTCCATTGCCAAAGCCATATTCAATGATAAGTTTAGGGGATTTGATTGGAGATGGACATGGGGTGCAGAGCTGAGTTGCTGATGATTTGGACATTCGCTAGAATTCTAGGTATGTTTATCATTTATCCTTTTTGATGTATCTACCCTTTTGTCTCAACAATAACTATTTCAATGCTTTCTATGTTGCTCTCTTCATGATGCATTTATTAATCTGTATTCATAGGCTGCTAATTACTGATGCAGTGGAATTGTTCCATATCCATATTACCGGTTCCCAGCACTTGCAAAGGGCTTGAAGAAATGGTGTTAATTAGCCTGAAGATGGATAGTTACTTTTATCC